AAATTTTGTACTGTACTACAATATCCTATACTCCCATGTCAAAAATGTTCGAATTGATGTAAAGTTCTCTGGCAGGAATTGAGGCGAGAGCATCATGGATAGTGGCGAATGGTCAACTTCCTTTGCGTTTCACTCACTGGCAATGCTAAAACAACCAGGTCAGGTTCACGCAAGAAATTATAGCCATCCTGAAGCGAAATATAAACAAAAACTGTCATGAAGAGCAAGAGCTGGAGGCAAACACTTTCCTGGTACATTGCTGTCAGTTCAAACCATCAGCAGCTCTCTTGTCGGAATACTATACACAATTAAACTAGTGCGCATTGTGCCCTTCACCAGTAACAACAACGTGAACAAAGTGTAGCGACACACTTAGCAATCAAACACAATCAACCAGTTGGCGACTTATCGTGTACTTTGACGAAATAAACTACAGTTTATTTTGCATGAGGGAGGAGTCATGAACCCTCGGAGGTCGGAACTCGACCTGCCATGGTGCTACCTCCATCACAAGGTCCCAATTTGAAAGTTCAATTTGCACAACCTCTTTTCTCAATACGTATGTCCAACCTGATTGGCTATAATAAGGAGAATTTCTATCAGTCAATCACAGTTCTAATTATTTCTTCACTGCAATTGGTTAAAGAATTGGTATTTCTGACTTCGTATACTTTTTAAAACAGATCATGTTTTGGAGGTGATCGGCTTTTTTGGACGTGTCGGCTTTTTCCGGGGCTCCCTGTAACCCAGGCATAGGTAATCCGTTAGGCTTTGTTCTGCCAATGCAATGTCGAGAAGGTGCTTCTACACTGGCGAACCCTAGTTTATGGCGAGTAATTCACATCCGATGTAAATTTTTCAAATTGAGAGATGCGATATTGTTTTTTCGTTTGTACAGACGTTCCGAACACGTTTCACCCATGTCACATGTTATATTTCACCTTCTGCCGGGAAGTGGTGTTGATGATATGCTACCGATCCGACAAACGAACTCCGCGATTTCAAGCACACTTGCTTCCATCCGCACACGGCAAAGGTATGTGCTAGAAGGCGTGTTTCTACATGAGCGAGCTCCTGGACTATCCTGTGCAGCGTCCCATTCGCCTCGCTCCAACGTCGAGTGCATTAAACTGGGATTGGTATCCAAATTTCGCCAAAAAGACCTGGCGTCCTCATTAAACGTCAGGTACAAATTGGATGATTTTATGTTTGACACCGTGCAACAATCCATCATCCTCTCGCCTGCCTTCATCGCATGGTCGCGCCGATGGAATCGCCGATGCGGTGCAGCGCCACCTCCATCGCCGCTTTGGCCAGTGTACTCCTCCTCTCTACGCCAACGAACATGAAGGCTATCGTGGCGGCAACTGCTACTGCCATCAACAACGAGATCTCCTACGACCTCCAAACCAACGTGCATCTCGTGTTCAGCACAGGGTGCGACCAAAAGCGCCGCCAGTTCCTGTCGGCCAGTCTTCAGCTGTCGTTGGTCCGAGTTCACCATGCCGGTCCGTTGACAGAGATCATCTCAGGATGCTCGCCCGTGGCACAAGCAGAGATCGAGGCCCAACGAAAGTACTACCCTGACTTTCGCTTGCACTTCACCAAGAACTATGCCAAGTACGAGAGCCCCACGTTCACAGAGACGTACAACGCGTACAACAAACCATTCGGTCTGCGCGACTTTCTCCACCACAGCGCCAAGAAGGACAACCTCGCCGTCGCATTCATCGACGCCGACTACATGCTGTTCAAGCCGCTCGTCGTCAACACGGGGGCCAAGTGGGCCAAGTACTACCAGAACACGACCATGCGGCGGGCCGAAGACATCACGGACACGGTCGAGAACGGCGTCGCGCTCGCGCAAAACATGAAGGCGTTCTTGGGCGGCCGGTGGTACAACGATTTCAACCGCACGATTCTCAACCTCGTGTGCGGCACCAAGCCATGCGCCAACGTGTCGAGCGCGGACGCGTTCGAGTACTTTGAACCCACGGGAACGCCGTACATCCAGACGCGCCACGACTGGTTGCATGTGGTCGAGGACTACTGCAACTTCACCGTGAAGGGCCGCCAAGTGTCCAAGGATGACTGGATGATCGAGATGTACGCATACGGCGCCGCCGTGGCCAACAACAACGTCAGGCACACGCTGCTGCAGCACTTGGGCCCGGCCACACCCGAGTTCCTCAACACAGAGTACTGGAATTTCATCGAGGAAGACATGCCGAATCCGTGCGCCGACCCGTTCCACGTCGTCCTCCCGGCCGATCCTCCCGTGGGCATCCATTACGCCATGTACTACGGCCTCCCCGACACGATTGACGAAGGCTACATGTACTACAAGTACCGCATTCCGTCGGACATTCTCGACTGCGACAGCCAGCTCTTCAAGCTCCCGCCCGCGTCCGAGTGGACTCAAATCGATGTGCTGTACAAGGACAATCCCAAGAAACGCCAGTGGAAGCGCCACACGGTGTGGCTCCAGTGCACACTGATCAAGTACGGAAACGAAGTCCTCCGCACGATGAAGGCACACACGTGTCCCGACGGATTCAACTCGCACCAAGGCGTTGTCATGCATGCCAAGGATACCCCCCGAACCGCATTGCCAACACCGTGATTGAATGTACCATGTTGGAACGAAAACCCGGACTCGCGCGTTGTCGGCGAAGCCACAGGTTGGTACTTGGGCCAACGGCGGCGTTGAATGCAGGCTGGACGAGTTGGCGAGATGGGTCTGTGGTGGGGGCGGTCTTGCTACTGACGGGCACATGCACAGGCATCGAGTTGGACGGTTCCATCGCGCAGACGTGTAATTACCGTCTAGCTCGTCGTAGAGAGAGACGCTTCGTGCAGGATGCCGTGATGCTGGGGGCTGCTTGCATACGTAGAAAGCGTCGACAACGTAGGTGGCAGCCCATGTCTTGCACAATAATCGTCATGGTCTGGCCCGCCATCGCCTCTTGCTGGCTCTCTTCCTCCGTGTTCGCTCAACACGATGCACTCGATCTATGTCCTGCAGGAACCGTGCAACTTGCCCTCTCGGGTGTGTTATCGTCGCCTCACCTCGTCCAGTGCGCCAACAGCATCGGTACACCCTCCATCCTCCGTGCCTTACGCTTCCAAAATGTGCACAGGCATGTCCCCGGAAGCCGTCGTGCGGAACGATCGACTCACGAGTGCCCAAGTCGTGGCGTTTCGTGACGCAAGCTCGTGCGCGTCCTACCACCACGACATGATGGACAAGCTGCTGCGGATTTACCCCGTCTGCGTCGACCCGGTGTCGAGGATGTCTACGGCTACCCTCGGTTCCATGACCTTTGCCCAGCGCGTGAAGAGCCTCACGTCGTAACTCGAAACACATCCCGTCGATCTTGACTGGGTTTAATGCATCCCTGGCTGCGAATCGAGCGCCATAAACATAGCGTAGTCGCTTATGTCGTCCAAGTTGAGCGCCGACTTGTTTTCGTGCTTGTACGCTCCAACGGCAAACGCAAACTTGGAGAACCGAGCGCTATCTTGCCACGTATGGAGATGCGCGTGCCGCGTGGGGGACTCGTGCGACGTTGTGGGAAAGTCCAAGTTGTAGGCGTCTTTGACGACGCCGAATGCTCGCGTGCAGTGATTAATCGCAATGTGACCGCCGTACATTGAGAGCACGCCAATGTGCCAATGGGGCCACCCCTTGATGCCGTACGACGGGCTCTTTTCGTCGTCTGTAAACTCGTGCTTGTACATGTATCGCTGCACGTCCATCGAAAGCTGGGCGCACGACTGGACGAGCGCAGTCGGACCAAACCACGTGGACCCGACGTTATCGACCGTTTTCGGCGTCAACTGGAGCTTGGCGATGATGCCTTCAAGGCGAGCGTCGGTCGACAGCCCCGCGAGGTTGTACCCCCCCATGCCCACGACAAACATGGATGGCCTCCATGTAGCAAACGCTGGCGTCAAGAAAGTGTCCATGTCGGTGCGAAGAACCCAGTCGTACGCAGCAAGCGGCGTCACGGCCACGACGTTGACCGAGTCGGCGTAAGGGTACGGAAACTCGGGGGTGTTGACGCTTGTGTAAGTCGCGTCGACTATGCACCGATTCGGGTCGGTGGCATGCTGGCGCGGTGTCGCCGTGCAGTT